CGTCAACTATGGGTACGTGGGGTGCAGATGGATCCATGAGAAACGGTTCAATCGTACGGAGGCGGGCCGGAAGGCCGCGTCGGAATGGCCAAAGGTTCAGAAGACCCGCATGTTTGAGCAGCTCGACTTCTTCAAGGAGGCTGTTGGGCTCGGACGCATTCGGGACATTACTTTCATCAGTAACCCGGACGCCGAGGACTATGGCCTCACTTCCGATTACAATGAGGCTATGAACGGCTGCCTTCGACACCTTGCAGATGGGGACATCGACGATGGGACCCGCATCAAGGCGATCGACTCGATCGACCCGTCGGTCATGACATTGCTGGCTCACAGATACGATGACGTGCATATGACATACAGCAATGCCAACCGGAAGGTTGTGTCGAAATTCCTTCATGCGGCAATCAACACGCAGCTGTTGGCCCAACGGATCAGGTGTGCTCTCCCGGCTATCGGGAGCGTTGAACCCTATGTGAAAGGAGAACCGGTGGATCCTGTGCTGTTTGGCTGGCCCACATGTTTGAAGCTGGCCAAAGCACTCCACGAGTGTGCTGCGATGGAGGAGAGGCCCGACTGGTCCCATGACCAGGAGGGCGAGGAGATCGACGCCGACGTGGCCGCCTGGATGAAAGTGGCTGAGGACGAGTCCTACAATGCCATGACCATCGAGATGCGGGGGGCCACGGTCGACGAATCCGAGATTATTGTTGAGGCCGTCGACAAGGGAGAAGAGAACTCCGACGACGAGCTAGACCGCGTCGAGATCGCCATGTCACAATACATTGGCCACACAGCGGAACAGCACGGGTTGTGCATTGTGCCTGACGATGAGGACAAGGACAAGTGGCTCCTGCTGGGCGATGACACCCAGGATTTCGGGTGGGACCAACCAACCTGCCCCCAGGAGTGCACCGCGCTGCGCCGGAAGGCCAGTCGATCATCATCGCGGAAGGAGATTTGTTCGACCAGGAGACGGTTGTGTCATTGGAACTGGTGTCAGAAGCTGATGAATCCGAGGCGGCAGGGATGAGTTCCATGATCACCGCGGAGTCGGTCGCTTTTGAGTCCGTGACGGAGGGCACCAGCACATCCAAGCAACCGCCAACTCCGCCGCCACCAAGGCGCGGAACTGCTGCCAAGAGCGCTGTGGGGGAACCCCAGTCGACTGGTTTCATCGAGATTGGAGACGAGTCGGACCCCACGGCTGCCGGTTCGGCCGACAAGCCCCAGGTGAAGGCGACGCCGAGGATTGCAAAGGCCAAAGCGCCGCCTGGCAACGCCGAGGGGGAACCCCGGTCGAAGAAGCAGAAGGACCCGAAGCAGGAAAAGATCTTTTGGGAGGACTGGGCCAAAACCCGGAAGATCAACACGAAGATCCCGGCCGAGGAGCAGTGCGAGTGGCTCGAGGTTGAGGATATGGGGCATGTCCCCAAGGTCAATATGGACCGCGATTACAGGCTTGTGGCTATCTCGAAAAAGATGTCGTACTTCCTCCGAAGCGTTCAAAGACGGGAAACCACACCCACCATTCCGTGGAATCGATTTGTCGGTGGAGTTCGATGCACTGGTCAGGCATTTGAACGACCGGATCGCCAATGTCATGCCTTGGCAGGTGATGATCTGCATCCGGAATAACAATACCCGGAGATTCCGCGTGATGGTTGGACCCCCTCCATTGGGGGAAGCATCCTGGAAAGGATTGCCGTATCAGGCGTTGCGGGTGAGGGCCGTGCAAGGACACCACAACGAGCTCACCAGGAAATACACTGAGCAGGCGATTCTGACGAATTTGTATTCCTTTGACGGAGAGTTCACTGCGGCAAAGTACTTGGGCGGGCAATACCCGAGAGCGGTACGGCATCCCGAGCAGACGGATCTCTGGCGCAGGGGCTTCCCTGCTGTTCTCTACCATACCTGTGACCTCAGGTCTGCCGAGAGCATCATCAAGTTTGGCCTGGTCCCGGGGGGCTATCCGAAGTCGACAGGCAGAGCCCACGTCTACTTCAACCCCACGCCACCCTGGGAGGCACAGATGAGGAAGCTGGCGGGAACGCGAGCCGGAAGGCCCGTCACGGTTGCTTTCGATACGGAGCTCATGATGCAAGACGGCATTCGACTCTTCACGAGCGATGAGGCGTTTATGTCTGCCGATTGGGTTGGAAATGCATATATTATTTACGCTTTCCATACCCGCAAGAATGAGTTCCTCTATTTCAATCGTGCGTACCCCGAGCTTCGCAAAAGGTACCGCGAAGCGTTGACATCCGAGCTCACGCCAGGCCCCCAGGACACCAATCCGAACTTCTTCAGAAGTGAAAACACCCTGACCGCAGAAAAGGCCTGGAGGCATTGGCGGACTGTCGTTGAGGGGACGAAGAACGGCAAATTGCTTCCTGGTGCCGTGACTGAGATTGCCACGATCGATGAGCTCGCTCCCCGGAAGGGGAAGTCGAATGAGAGACCTGCAGGGCCGACATATCAGGTTGCGCCTGCAACCCTTCGACGGGTGCCCGAGCTCTCTCCAGGGGAGAGAAAGGGCATGGTCGCGGCTGGAGCAACCTTCGGAGCCGCTACCAGAACGAGCCAAAGTGGGAAGACCTCTTTTTCACCACCATGATGAAGATCCCGGTTGTGAAGTGCTGGAACAAGAGGTGTGGCAACCAGCAGATCGACGGCTACCTTTTGTGTCAGGAATGCCGATCAGATATGGTCGAGTGGACGGATGCCCGGATCGCCACCGAGGTTGTGCGCCTTGAGCGCACCGCGTCTCTCCAAAACATGGTCTTCTACTTGGAAGACCTCCAGGGGGGCGGTGGGAAGTGGATCCGCTCCAAGCATCACGCCAAGGAAGGCGACAAGCGGGGAGGAATCTCCGTCGAGGCGTCACTCAGAAAGACGGCAAAGACGCATCTGACCAAAGCGCTGGCAATGGGCTGCGAGAAGGTGTCCGACCGCCTCTCGGTCGACCCGTTCTATGCCTATAATTGCGCTACGCAAGGGTTGACTCCTGAAAGCCTGGATTTCCTAGGCAGGATCGCCCGAGCGATCGTTGCAGACCCTGGCCGCACACGGGAGGAGCGCGATCGGGGAGGGTCTCAGAACACTGGCACGAAGTTGGTGTTCATTCCCAGCCCCAACAAGCGCGATCCCCACGAGTTGAACGTGTCAACGGAGGCTTTCATCGCGCACCATGCGAGATTCTACACCATCATGCAGTTTGCGGTCATGTGTGCCTATCGTTTCATTCCCGGCAAGCAGGTGCCTATTATCATTGGGCACAGCGGAGCATACGTCCCGGAAGGGAGCGTCGAGAACATCTTGGAGGTGATGATCAGCTTCATTCGTACCTCCTGGGTAAAGCACGACTCCCAAGGAACGATTAGCACAGGCGAACTGGAGATCCCGCAATTCTCATCCGGCCGGACAAGAACCTATCCTGTCGAGGCGAGGAACACTCAGTGGAGGGCAATCACCCGGTCCATCCGCCCCGAGCCCTATGCCAAGGGAAAGGGCAAGGGCAAAGGCAAGAACAAGGGGCGCCAGGACTGGAGCTCTTGGAATTACGGGTGGTCCTATGGGTGGGATCAATGGCGTCAGGGCCCGTGGGGATGGTGAGCACCCGCGTCAATCACAAAAGTTTAGCTTTTGTTGCGGTGATCTTTTCAAATTTCATTGGTGATGTCATGTTCGAAAACTATTATCTTTCATCCATTGATGCCGCAACATTAGCTGTGCCGAGTTTGCACGCCCGGCGGAAGCTGCGGCCGTAGGTCAATCCACGGCCGCCACCACCGGCTGTCATTTCGATTTCGCCCAGCGGAAGCTGTGGTCGTGAGATCACCTCCGTTTGCGGCGACAGAATGAATTCAGTTTCAAGCATTCACATGAAAATTACATGTGTATTGCCCGACGGAAGTCGTGGTCGGCCGACTCGATTGGCATGCTCCTGCAAAAGACCAAATGCATTGCAGTTGTAGCGGCCATTGATGCAACAGGCCTCAAACCACCATGGCTTGCCACTTATCACACTGAGGCTCAACGTCTTCTTCGTCGCGACCTCAGAGGACTTTGTTTCAGGCCTGGGGGGAAACATGTACAAAGTACTGTTCTCACCAACGCACCTCTGCAAAGCGGGGGGTGTTGATAGGTAGTGGCATTCCGACATGATACTGGCTCAAGAAAAATTGACTGCCGCCCGTGCTGACATGTAGGTAGATTCCACCTTTCAACACCTTTGCAAAGAAGACGTTCCAACGTGTGAAGTTGAACTTCTGCCAGGGTTTGTTCTGAACATGTGCCCAAAGGAAACCTGGCCAGAACGGGGCATCACGTTCCCAGTGCCAGGACTTGATTTGCAGGTCGCTGAAATCCAGTTCCAATTCAAATCCAGTACCCAAAGGTGCCATTGTTGCCAATAGCCTCCATGAAAGTTGTCCTTGCATGATTCCTTGCTTCAGGTGAGTTTGAATCATTCGCCCTCTAGTTTCTTCATAGTCCATGTAGAGAATTGCCTCATGATCATTGGGTCACAAGATGTGTGTAAAATAGGCCCGTATTTTAAGCCTTATGTTGACTGAAACGAAAGACACATACTGCACTGAGTTGCACTGAGCTTCGCAAACCAAGGCCCCCTCAGATTTTACGTGTTGCTTGGGGTCCTGCCCTGTTCCACCGAGTCGTTGGGGAAATGGTGGCAGCCTCCCGAGCGCTTGCGACCTGTTCGCGGAAGGACGTGGTGCGCCCAACAAGGGACCCGTTCCCATACAGAGGGACCCCGTGGGTACACATGCAATGGAGAGGGTGGAAAACTCTTGGGCGATTGGGGTTCACTTTGTTTTCTATTGAGGTGATCTTTTCTTTTATAAGTATCTTCTTGTTTGGGTCGGGAAATGATTGTGATTCAGCCGGAATCGCTGGTTTCCAATGCTGTTTTCCTTATGTTTGATTCTCCATTGGTGACATGAACAATTCACCTGGCATGCGGGCAACTTTGGCAGGCGGGCTTTGACGATGAAGAGACAAAGGCGGGATGATTGGTCAGCTGGTTGACCGCACCCTGGCAATGAATTCAGAACAAACAGCATTTCTTGGGTGTAGGTTTAGGGTGGTCCCCTGTCGGTTCACACGGGACGCACTTTGGCAAACGAGGTCCCCTAATGTATCCTTTTTGGGAGAACCCAAAAGGCAAGCCATCATTTTGGGGGTCTCCCTATTTTGACACATACCAATATGTTTTACGCTTCGGCCCATAAATCAACTTGCGTTACTCAAATTAGGTTTATTTGGTGATTGTGAGGTCCATGTCCTTATGTCCTTGTGAATAGCCCAGTGATCAGGCCTCATCAGAGCCATTGTCCTGGGCTAATAACAAAGGCATGAACCACCCCCTCCACCCCCCCCCCCAATCGCACAGTTTGACGGCAGGGGTCCATCAGTGCAATTGCGATCAGGCATGGGTCCTTATGTTTCTCTGCCCCGGGTGAATGTAGTAAAGGTAGAATAACGATGGGGGATGGGTCCCCACTTTGGCACTTGGTATCACAAGGGGCCCATTTCTCAGGGGAGAGGCCGTTGCAAAGTATTGCTTTCTTGGGGTGGAGGAGCATGGGGAAACTTTGAGGCTAGCTCCACTTTGGGGGGGCGGTTCAAAAAAAGGAGCCCGTAAATATACTAATACACTGCGCCCAGCCAGGCCATGTTCGGGGAGATCGATCGCATGGATCAGGGCCTCAAGGGCGCGAAGCCGGTGCGGGAGGCGCGGGTTTGGGGGGGGGATCTCAACCAGCTGGTGGTTGGACGGGAGCCAAGGAGCTGGGGTTTCCAATCTTGTGCCTTCAAGGAGGGAACTAAGGAGCTACCAGAAGTTCTGTAAGGACATGGACGTTAAGGGCCTAAATCATGTAGAATGGGGTTATCCCAAAAGGAGTGCCCTTTTTTTTTCTTCTCCTTTTTTTTTCCGGGGTCGCTGGGCAACTGTGTGAAAAAAATGGCTTGCAACCAAGTGATTGGTGCAAGGTGTCACAGGGGAACCCTTATCTTGAGTTGTGATTCACTCGCCTGCCTGCTGCAGCGTCTTGCGCAACATGGCGAGCCACAGCGAGCTGATTCAATGTAAGCAAACAGACTAGAATCTGACTAGAACGGCCTGTCCGCAATTGGTTTGGCTTGCAAACCCCTTTGGGTTTGCCTGGCTTGTCAGGCGGAAGGTTTTGACAATGAGTGCTAGCTAGCCAGACTTGTCGGGTCGCATAGAATGAGTTTGCTCGCTACACATTGCTTTTTGCGTGGTTTCTGTGTGTGACCTTCCAATTTTGGACCCCTTTGCGGACTTCGGGTTCTCGAGCTGCTTGCATAGCACATCAGTAACCAGGGGAAGCCCGCCTATTTTTCACGTGACATGTTTGAACGCATCGAACTCAGGAACGTGCCTTTCCATTTAGCAGAGCCATTCCCAGAGATTCCAAGTACCCTTGAGGACGGTCTTTGAGGGGTAAGAAGGGATCTAAATAGCTTGAGTATTTGGAACCTCTTGGATTATGCTTGTCGTTTACCGCCTGGAAGCCTATTCAGATCTTGATTCAATGGTGTTCCGGGGCAATCTCCGCAAACCACCTTCAAGCCCATGGATATGTCTCAAGACTCAAACTCTGACGCTCCGGTTTGGATTTTTCTCCATGTTTTTCCATTTTTCAACCAGAACCGTTGGGGGCCTTTTTTTGTTCTTCTCCATTTTTCAAGCAGAACTCTTTGGAAGCCAAATTCTCCCTCGCTCAGGAGCTGTCCGGCAAGCTGGCGCTGGTGCATCAGATCCTTTCGGCCATCCGCGCGTCCAAGAGCGGGGACCGGCCGGGAATAATAATAATAATAAAACGTCGGCGTGAGGGTTTTGACTTGGCTGTGGTGGTCAAAACCGTTTTGGGATCCCACTTTGGTTGGTAGGTGAATTCACCACCCATTTTGGGGTACCTATTTTAGTGGGGACTGGGATGTTCACTGGGGGTACGAAATTTGGATTTTGACCCATGGCCACTTGAGCTCACTTCCTGACTTCAAACACTTTTTGGGCTTGGACCAGTTTGGTGGTAAAAACAAAGTTCCTGGACTTTTTTGGGCCACTCAGGAAGTGAGTGGGTGCAGACCTCACTTGGTGAGTGGCTAGCAACCCCCAAGAGGAGCCCTGAAACCTGTGTCGCAGGTGGGACAATTCCTGGCGGTCATCCAAAGACCCCGCCCCACTCGAAAGGCCACCCATACAATGATCTGATGCTTTGAGAGTTTCCAGGTGGAAGAAAAGGTCCGCAGGAAAGCATGCCGTGGATAAGTCCATCTATGCCCATGGTGCAGGGTTACTCCCTCGTGGGGCTCAGTGTTGCTTTTGTTTCGCCGACTCCCAAAGATTAACACAAAAACCCACAAGACCATTCGCTGCTGGAGCAGTCGCCTTTTACCCTCCAGACTAACATGGAAGCTCCCAGAACCCCTTTGGAAGACTTGGTTCCATTTGCCGAGGCCTTCTGGGAGCTTCCATGTTAGTCTGATGGAGTGTAAGACTTTTTGGGTTCCATGGTCATTTGCAGGGGAGCAATGCTTCTAACAGGACCGCATAGTCCTCATCTCCAACTGGACGCAAACCCTGGACCTGATCGAGAGAATGTGCACCTCGGTGTGGCGGATTGTTGGTCGCAAATAATGGGAACCCAGGTTACCCGCGTTTCAGGGCAACCATGTTTTCAGCTGCGTTTTTCCCTCTCGGTATTGGGAGGGCAACCTGGTTTTGGTGGCACCCTTTCTGCGTTTTCAGCCTTTGAAATTTGATGCTTTACCTCGATGTCCCTTCTTTGACCTATGCTTTCATTGGGAACCAGCAAATTGTGTGTATTTTGGTCATACCGCTATGTCAGTAGGATAGCTCGAGGCGTCAACTTGAAAATCACGGGATTCTAATTCTGGCCATGTTCCCAACTGTTTGTTCGGCAGTCAGGCATGTGTGCTGGGTTCTTTCACTCATCTATTTGCATCATGTTGTCTATGTTCAAGCTCCCACGACTTAAACCAAGGGCTGGCTTGTGTATTCCAAGGTTTGGGGGCTCAGGCTTCCAGTGTCGCCCTTTGTTCCTCTTTTTGGATGGTTTTTCCTTCGAAAGCAACTATCAACAAAAAAGCAGGGGGGGGGGAAACCAACAGTGAGGGGTGCAATCCGAACGAGGCGGGGTTGGGCAAAAATTAACTAAACAGCCAAGCCCTACCCCCGCGTAAAGGGAGACCCACAGAATGTCGTTCCAAACAATTCCGATTCTTTTCTTTCCCATGTTTTCAACCTTCTCACTTTAGTTGGCTTCAAGCTTTTTGGGGAAACCCGTTTTTGCGGGGAAGAGCAAGTCCGAACTTTTTCAGATCAATCCACTCGGTCAGACAGACCAGAGGCCTGCATCGCCGGTCTGCTGCCCACTGAGGCGGGCAGTACAAGTGGCCCACCCACCGCCTGGACGGATCCATGGCCATCTCCAAGCGGATGAAGCTGGTGGCTCGCCCCAAGGGCCACGGGTCGGGCGCAAGGGTCGGGGCCGGGTGCGCCTGGGAGGGTTGCCATTTTGAGGTTCGGAGAGCATTTGGAGGGAAATAAGAGAACCCTCCCAAAGGGCAAGGCCAAAAGGGGGGTCTTGCAGTGGGGAGAAGTCCCTTTGTTTTTTTTTTTTTTGGGGGGGGGGGCAAAAGGCAAATCCCACCAACGCGGTCCTGTATTTAGGGGTTCCCCTATTTCAACACATGCTCAAAAGTGCGGCATGGCGCACAAGTGTGGACCCCGGAGCGGGCTTCCCAGTTTGGAGACAAATGGAAACTCCATTGGAGATTGGAGGGGGTCAACCGGACCACCTATTTGGAGGCATCTGCTGGGATCTCTTTTGACACAATGTCACATGTGAAGCTTCACTATGGACCAGAATCAAGCATGGTATTCTTGGCTGGGAGCAAAAGCTGAGGTAGAAACGGGAGCCCTAGGGAACCTTAGGGTTTCTTGGAGTGGTTAAGTTGTTTGTTTAAGTGGCTGTCTTATGTTAAGCCAAATAGGGATGGCTACGTGCTTTGTACCACGCATCAACGAGCAAACGGGCCAATGTGAGGTTTGCCGAGTCATCAGCCATGTAAAAGAGGCTGGGGTATTCAAGACACCGAGATGTGAAGCAAGTTGGTGTGGTCACCTTCAGTGCATCGTGGGTCTGCTGTGAAACCTATGGACTTAGTCCCTTCACCGTTCCCAACATTTTTTTGTCGGGCACTCTTTTCGGGTTTGCTTTAAGCAAGTCAAGCATTGTTGCGTTCCCCGAATTCAATCAGACTCACATGAGGCTGTGCCACTCTCTGTGACACTTATCAACGTGACGCTGCTGTAGGGATGGGACATCCCACTTGCATACATCACAAGGGCCCATGTGTCCACAGCTGAGAGCTCAACTACTCACCAATTCAACGAGGGTCTACTTCTGCTCACCCAGCTTTTCCTCCCCGTGAGGTCACCGACTTCAATCGCCCGGAGAACGACCAGGCTTTTGCCTTCCTCCTCTCCTCGACGCACGGCTCAGGTTGAGCCATCGCGAGAGAGGCGGAGAGCTGGCGGAGTGTCTCTTTGACTTTCCCTGTGGAGTGCTCGGATTGAGCGTGGCTTTTCCTTCTTCTTTTTTTTTGGGGAGGGGCTGAGTCTTGGCGTGGTCCTGTTTCAAACAGCATGAATTGGGAGGGGCAGTTCTTCGTAATTCGCAATGCGTTCCCTGTTGTTTTGTGTTTCCTTTGCCTCTCTGAAGGCATTTCGACTCAGCAAGGTCTTTCATCGTTCACCCTGGTTCAGAGATGCATGACCTTCCGCAAGCCTTGAGTGGGTCTGATGCTTGTGAACCCACAATCCCACACCTGCAGTTTTTGTCGTCCGATCTTCCCCGGTTGTTTGAAAGGAAACTGCCAGGCTGTTGGCTTATGGGACGGAAGCGACTCTTAAACTCAG